GTAAAGGCCTGGTGGAGGGTTTTTCCGTGTCTCCCATCAACCCAAACTATTGCTGTAATCCACCTGTGACCCCCCAGGGGGATTGTGGGTGTTTATCGTCGTGTATGTTCGTGTGCCTGAGCTTTGGACAGAGGTTCTGGGTGGAATGGCTTTGTGTACAGAGAGCCGTGGACGCTGAGGTGAACCGCTGGGTGATCCTAGTTTATCCCTTGATTTACGATCATTTCCTAAAGAATTAACAGCGTTTTTACTAGGGCTGCACGATATCCAAGACAAATGGGATGGCTTGTTTGATTTATAACTGAAAAACGGAAAAACTGGAGCTGCACGATTTTGGATAAATTATTTATTACGATCATTTCGTAAAACGTAAGGGTTAAGTGAGCATTAACCTGTTTAACAGCGTTTTTACTAGGGCTGCACGATATTTAAGAAGAATGTGATAGCTTGTTGACTGGGATATTTGATTTATTCAAACACATTTAAACAAATTAAAACATTTAAAAACTGAAAATTAAGTGAAGCTGCACGAATCTGGATAAATTGAGAATCACATTTTTTTTTTTTGGTTTTAAATAGAGAACACGATTCCATGGAAGCTTGTTTCCGCCATAGAATAAAAAAATATAAAGGTAATTGCGACTTTACATCTCACAATTCTGACTTTTTATCTCAGAATTGCGAGATATAAAGTTGCAATTGCGTGTTATAAAGTCAGAATTGTGAAAAAAGTCAGTCTTTTTTTCCTTAGATTGGATTGGACTTTATAAGATGTCAGAATTGCGAGATATAAACTCGCAATTGCAAGTTTAAAAAAAGTCCGAATTTTATTTTACAGAAGTTTATATCACACAATTTTGAATTTATAACACGCAATTGTGACTTTATCTCGCAATTCTGAGAACTAAAGTCAATTGTGTTATAAAAAGTCGCAATTATCTTTTAAAATGTTTTATTCTGTGGCGGAAACAAGCTTCCATATGATTCTGAATAGACAACTAAATAACATAACGTCATTTATTAGAGCTTCTGACAAAATGTTAGTTACTGCAGTCTATTTAAAAAATATATGTAATTAATTTGAATGAAGTGAATGATTCAATGACTCACTCATAAAGACTTCACTTGTTTCATTACTGGATGAATCCTCGTTTTTGAACGAATCTCTTGAATGAATGATTCAATGACTCACTCATGTTTTAACAGTCACTTGTCGCCACCTACTGGTGTAACGATGTAATGATACAATCTTTATTGGTTAACTCTATTTTCATTGCTACCGTAGACATCAGTGGTAATATCCGAACTGTAAACTTTTATCCCAGAACTTCTGTGATCATTTGAATATTTGTAACACAAAAATAATGATTCTGTGTGATCGAAAAAATATGCTGTTTTCATATGCATGACAACTGCTTTCTCTGGGTCAGAATGCAGATTTGAATGTTCGCTGTGATCAAAGTTTTAAAGGATTAGTTCACTTTAAAAAAAAACTTTTGCTGATAATTTACTCACCCCCATGTCATCCAAGATGTCCATGTCTTTCTTTCTCTTTAGTCGAAAAGAAATTAATGTTTTTGATGAAAACATTCCAGGATTTTTCTCCATATAATGCACTTTGCTGGGCACCAAACGGTTCAAGGTCTAAATGACCGTTTCAGTGCAGCTTCAAAGCGCTTTAAACGATACCAGACGATGAATAAGGGTCTTATCTAGCGAAACGATCGGTCATTTAAAAAATAAATAAAAAAGTTAAAGTTTTATAGGCACAAATGCTCGCCTTGCGAACTCTCCTGTTCGAACTCGTTCATCAAAATGAACGAATCTTTTTTCGAGTCAATGACTCGAAAAAAGATTCGTTCATTTTGATGAACGAGTCAATGACTCGAAAAAAGATTCGTTCATTTTGATGAACGAGTTCGAACAGGAGAGTTCGCAAGGCGAGCATTTGTGCCTATAAAACTTTAACTTTTTTATTTATTTTTGAAATGACAGATCGTTTCTCTAGATAAGACCCTTATTCATTGTCTGGTATCGTTTAAAGCGCTTTGAAGCTGAACTGAAACGGTCATTTAGACCTTGAACCGTTTGGCTACCATTGAAGTCCATTATATGGAGAAAAATCCTGGAATGTTTTCATCAAAAACATTAATTTCTTTTCGACTGAAGAAAGAAAGACATGGACATCTTGGATGACATGGGGGTGAGTAAAATATCAGCAAAAGTTTTTTAAAAAGTGAACTACTCCTTTAATAGACGAATCGTTGACAATTAGGAATAAGATCGTGTGGGTGTTTGAATCGAGATTGTGATCTTTACACGCTTAATCGTGCAGCTCCGTAACCAACACAGTACAGACGTTTACCGCCAAACTGACCAACGATGTCATGCCATCTTGACCGGACGAACCCAGTCTATTCTCTACTATCTGCATCAACATAAACTGATATGCATTGGTGATATTTTCCATAATTTCAATATATTGTGCAACCCTATTTTTGCTGTTAAAATTAAGATTTTTTTTTTTTTTTTTTACAGCATAACCGCTCAGCATCCAAACCCCAAGCTAACACTGTTCTCCATGAGCTCATCTAGCAGACCTCAGCATCCAAACACTCTGTTTATTCGAGACAGAAGCTTTGAGGAAGGCAGAGATGTGGCTAACGGCAGTCAAGAGATATTGATCTATAAATCCAGTGCAGAAAAACAATGGCAGAAGCTTCTCGAGGACACTTAGGCTAAATCACAAGTCAATTATCGTTTATATATATAGTGCTTTATACAATAGAAATTGTAAAAACAGCTTCACAGTAATAAACAGGAAAGTAACAGAATTAATGATGCAAGTTTGATCAAATATGAGACTAATTCAAATTCTGCTGTAAATAAAGCAGCTCCAAAAAGACAATAGTTTCATTATTCAGGTATAGAAGGTGTACACAAATACAAATATCATCATAGAGTAGGATTTACTTTAAAACATTGCAAAGAAACTCCAAGTAACACTGAAATAAACAAGACATTTTGAAGTAGAAAGACTGAAATAGTATTTCCTTGTAAAATGTACTCCAATATCTCTCTGATTTACACTATAATGTTTACAGTGTGTTCTGTTCACTTTGAACTTCACAACTTCAGAGTTTCAAAACTTAAGAACTCAATCAATTAGATACAAAAGAAATGCTTCTTGCGATATATAATATTGTCACTGTTGGTTGCAGAAAGAGTATTTGCGAGAGTAACTAAAGGGGGTCGCACACCGGACGAGAAGCGCAGCGCCGCGTCGCGCAGCGCCAGGTCTTTAAAATTCGAACACATTATTCTCTATGAGTGTACACACACCGGCGGCGCCATTCGGCGTCTGTCTGCGGCGCCCAGCTACGGCTCAGGACCTTGTTCAAAACCCTGCCGCGCCACAGAGCGCCATTTGCATAGTTGTATATTAAATTTACATTTATTTGTCTCAAATCGTCGTTAATGTACATGGCTTCACCCCGTGCTGTTTTCACTCGGGTTAGCTAAACGCTAGCTAAATAAATACTATTGTATTATGTGACATAGTTGCCTAGACAACGGATAACGTTACAACAAAATAACAGACTCAACGTGATAGACACTTTTACTTGATTAACGTTCAAACATCAGCTATTATTCAATGAACATAAAAAATAAATAATTAATCAATATAAAACACACATCGTGCAGCTCTTCTACCAGGAGTTGATTCAAAATTGTGTTCGCGCGATTAGAATGTGCGCGTCCGGTGTGCGATACCTGGAGTTGTCCTAGACGTGGCGCGACGCGGCGCTGCGCTTCTCGTCCGGTGTGCGACCCACTTAAAGGGCTAAACAAGGAACAGGTGAAACAAATCAATCACACAATGAGTCGCTATGACAACAAATGAGAACATTCTAGAAACCATAGAAACAGAAAGGAAACACCACAAACAAAGAGTTACAAATTTAAAAGTTGATGAAAATGTTACAACTGAACGCTACAAATATACAGCAAATACCAACTGAGAGATTTTTTATTTTGTCGCAAAAATGCAAATGCAAGAAAACAAAAATTGCAACACATTGAAAAAAACATGAAAGACTGGAATAGTTTTTTTTTTGTAAAACATACTTGCGATTAAAAAAATATTTTTTACAGTGTGTTACACTAAAATAAACAATGCAACAAATTTTAATGTAACAAAAAACTTTAATGTACATAACTGACCTGAAGAAACAGCTAGATTTCCATTACTGTAATATTCTATTAAATTTAATACAATTTTATTATACTATTCTATTTTTATAAATACAGTACTTTCATGTAAAGTTAATCAACACACACACAAAAAAAGAAATGAATGCAGGAAACAATTTCTCACTCTGAAATTGCTAGAAAATGTCACAAAAACCCGCAAGTATCGAAATAAACATGAAAGACTGAAAAATTATGTTTTATTGTAAAACATACTTGCGACTTAAAAAAATATTTTTTACAGTGTGTTACACTAAAATAAACAATGCAACAAATATTAATGTAACAAAAAACTGTACATAACTGACCTGAAGAATACTGTAATATTCTATTAAATATAATACAATTTAATATAATACAATTTTATTATACTATTCTATTTTTATAAATACAGTACTCTCATGTAAAGTTAATCAACACACACAAAAAAAGAAATTAATGCAGGAAACAATTTCTCACTCTGAAATTGCTAGAAAATGGCACAAAAATTGAAATAGTATTGAAATAAACATGAAAGACTGAAAAAATGTTTTATTGTAAAACATACTTGCGACTTAAAAAAAAGCATTTTTACAGTGTGTTACACTAAAATAAACAATGCAACAAATATGAATTTAACATTAAACTTTAATGTACACATTTATTACTGTAATGTATTAAAAATAATATAATTTTATCATACTATTCTATTTTTTATTTTATTTTTTTATTGCAAGTTAACAAAAACATTGTAGTTTATACAAGATAAA